TAATATAATCGAATATTATAATATAAATATATGAATAATTTAAATAATTTATAGTTATTTTCAAAGTGTTTGTAAAAGTACCAGAGTTTGATGTTCGCCTTTTACCTTTTTGTTTGATGTAGGATTGCAGTTTGATTCCAGCTAATCTTGTAGAGGCATTTGGATTATTGATTAACTGTAATGAATCATCTCCTTGCCACCCATTTCTTTCTAATGTGCAACATACTTTAAAGAAAGCCATTGATCCCGAAGGGCTGCTTTATGTAGCTTCTAAACAGTTCACTACTGAAGATTTTGAAAAGGTAAAGATAGAAAAAATGATTACTAAGAATACTTATGCTAATGTTTCTCAATTTAAATAGAACTCTCTTTGAGCATTCAATTTATTTAGGATTCCTTTATTCCAACTTGCTTCTAGCTTTTAAATATTTTAAGGACATTGTATAGAAAATATTTAGAATTACAATTAAATTAAAAAAAACTGTCTAAGGATATAGATATTAAAATTTTGAGCTTATTCTTTGCACAACTGTCCAAATCACCATAGCTTAAGGAATTTCAATGAAAAGAAAACCAAAATATTTCTATAGAAAATTATGATAAGCTGTATAGACATAGAGTTAATTTACATTTTATAAACTATTCAAAGGGATTTCTTTTATATGAATACATTCTGCATTCTGACTTTAGGGAATATCTATCATGACACATTACTTTTAATGTCCTGACATGAAATGTGTGGCATGTTCAGAGAACTCGAGAGTAGGTGATATAAATTTAGTAATGATTTTCATAGTTATTAAAGGTGCTCAAGTATTTACAAGTGAAGCCCTTTGAGTATTAACTATTCAGAAATCTGTCCACACTTGAGTTAAATTATCTGGATAGGATAGGTAAAAGGCAGGGAATATTGGAAAGTGGGAACCCATAGATCATTAATTTTTTTTTCATGCTTGCCTTCGTTGTAGGCATATTGCATGGGTAAAAGGTTGAAAGGTGAGGTAGATTTAAAAATGAATTATAAGCATTGTTTATTCACATGGATTAGAACAGAAAAAGAATAATATTGATAATATGATAAGGTTTTTTTGTTTTAGTATATAAGAAAAAAGTAGTTTGTCTCTAGGAATTAACATAATAAATATGTAGGTACACTAATGACCTAGAGAAATTTTCACCCAATTTTCCAAGAAAAACAAACACAAATCCATGAATTTATTAATTAGTCAGATATTTACTGAATACTTTTATATATGAACCTATTTCTATTCTTTTATAATCTGACAGAAACAAATTTTCTTCTAGTTTATCATTTAATTGAGATTAGAAACAAGATACATGAAAAAATTAGGGGACAATTTATGTGCTAAACTGGGTGGTGCTAAGTATTTTAGGATTCAAAAAGGAAGATATCAACTTAATTAAAAAAAAATGATATCAAGTAGAATGCAAGAGTTGGGAAGATTTCACGGATGAAGTAAAATTTAGGGCCTTAAGGAAAGGTAAGATTTAGATGACAGGAAGGATAGACATGCTAAACAAAAATAAAAATAGGAGCAAAAATAGGCATAAAAGTAGAAATGAGTATACATGGAAAACGATGAGAAGACTTACCTGACTGGTACAAAAATTACATTATGGAGTCATCAGGATTAGGAGTTGGAAAATTTACAATAAGCCTTGAAGCTCAGGCAAAAGAGGTTATAGTTGATTTGTCTAACCGAAGAGATTTGTGGACTTTACTATGCTAGTGTAACAGCGAAAATAATATCTCTGAAAGATAAATCTATCTGTCACAGAAAACTGATCGAATATGTTACAGCCTGGGTTCTCTAAGAGGTATACTGAGATGGAGCTTACTGTGTTATTGCTTGTTTGGGAGCGTTCTTCTGTCAATCCCTGTAGAAGGGAGAAGAGGGAAGAATTGGACAGAAGAAGGAGTCAAGCAAGCTGTGATGTAGGCCTAAGAATAACCTTTGCAGGCCCCACAGTGAGCTCTGGAGCTAAAGAGACCCATCAGAGTCAGAAATAGAGGGGCTTTATAAAACCCTCCTCACTTCCACCTCAATCAGTCATTTGTAGTGGGCTGTCCTGCGGCAATCCCTGAAGAGGTTGACAGCAATTGGAGGCCAGTGCTGACAGCACTCCCAGTAGCTGGGCAACAGCCTTTTCCTGAAGGAGGTTGTAGGTGGCACATCACTGTGCCTCCATATGGTAAAACCTAGACAGGGCTACTGATGGAATTAGTAGTGGTATTATCCAATTCCGAAGGCCCAGAGGGAACTATAGAGTATAAAGAGAATAAAGAAGATAGCACATATCAAACCCAGGACAAATCCAAATCCTTTAAAAGTTATTTTTAAAATATAAATATTATTTTTAATAGCAACCTTAGTATGATTAATTTTTCATTTTGGCTCTATGAGTTTTAAAAGCAGGATGGTGAAAAGTTTGGAAATTATGTCATTGAATAAGAACTTAAGGAACTGGGAATCATTCAGAAAAAAAAAAAGCACAAAACTCAGAGAAAACAGTGCTAATCATTATGTTGAAGACTTATTCTCTACCCAAAACTTACTGAATCTCTAAGGCCCACATTCACAGTAGTTAACATGGTGCCTGCCACATTGCTAGTGTTTAGTTGAGTTTTTTAAAAGGAAGAAAGGGAGGTAAGGAGAATAAGCTCTAGGGCCAATGAGAGAAAGTTGTAAAGAAATAAACTGTCAAAGAATTAAAGCTATTCAAAAGGAAATGAGATTCTGAGGGAGGCCTCTCTTCCCATGGAGAGGTTCCAAATGAGCCTTTATTCCACAGGAAGCAAAGACTTGATGGTCATTCCAATATATTTCACAGAATATGTCTGCACTAAGGGGTTGATTTGGGGTAAACTTTAATATTCTTACAGGTATTAAGACTATGATTTAAAATGCTCAATGACTTTGGGATGGCCCCAGATAATCGATTTTAATGTAAAAAAAATAGGCCAACTTTTAATAATAAAGTGATCTAGATTTTTATAATATAGATTCTATAATAAAGTTTGAATCTCTTATTATATTTTTCACACTTTCAATTTAGCTGCTGGCTTTTGCAAAGAATTTGAATGTAGAATTCAGCTTGGAGGCAGAAAGAATGATTCATGGCTATTATCTAGCGAGTCGCAGAATCAGAACAGATTCTATCTGTGGATCAAAACTGTCATCATCTGCATTAAAATATTTGTAGGTATACAGTGTAAAATTTCAAAGCCAGTGTTGACTTTTAAATGATGTGTTTAATTATCCTACTTATTTATCTGTTTTATTTGTTTCTTTGTTTGATTGCTGGTTGATTGGTTTATAATTTACCTTGTTCTAAAAAGTTTAAGTTAATAATTCCTTTGTTATGTTGTTACATCGTTTGTTTTCACTAAATTAGTTTTTACTGGTCCCTCTGTATAAGATGTGTCTGACAAAAGTGTACTGATTTCAAATGTAAATGATTGTTTTTTAAACTGTGGCTGTTTATGGGGAAGAAGAAATTTTCCTTTATCCTTCTTGGCTTTTCTGACTGGTCTAATTACTAAATTGACACAAAACAGATAAACACGAGAAAATAATAAAATTTAATTACATGCATACATCTGGGAACCCCACATATGTGAGAAAGTCAGCGACCTCACATACATGAGAGGTTCAGGGATGGAAAGTTAAAATGGGTATATATGGCATTCTGAGCTAAGGATGAAGTAAGGCACTATGGGGTTTCAGAGGGGAAGAAGGTCATTCGTAGGATGAGCAGATGTTCAGTAATTAGATGTTTGCCCTGCCCTATAGATGGGTCATAAAAAGTTTTCTCTGGTAATAACTCTTCACTTGGGCCAGGCCCCAAATTTAAATTAAGGGAGAGGTAAGTTTCTCATGAGCTCTCAGGGTCTCTGTTGCCTTCAGCTCAGAATGATTCACTTGCCAAAATGGCACATCTTGGGGAGGCCTGTTTTGAACCTCTTCATATTCCAGGTTTTTTGTAACTGAACCTAGAAAAAGAGTTTCTTAAGTATATTGTTCCTTGTACTTTTAAATACTTTAATAGACTCATCTATTATTGTTTCTTGAAAAGTTTTTTTAAAAAACTAATTTTTATTATAAAAGTGATGTATGGACATAGTAAAAGTCTAAAATAATGAGTAAAGTATCCTATGAACCCTACCCATTTCTATCCCACTCCCTAGAGATAATCACTGTTAATGGTTTTTGTGTATCCAGAAATTATTCATTCAAATATAATGCATATACAAATATGTAATTTAAATATAATATATAATAATACATATTTATTTGAATGTTACATATTTTAGATGAATGTTATTTAAATAATAATAATACATATAACACATAAATATATATTCATATGGGATATTCTCTTTTGCCCAACCAAATGGAATCATGCATGGCGTACATATTATACCATCACACTATCAGCACATAAAGAATCACCTCATTCTGTTCTTATAGTTGTATTCCAGTTATAGTGTGTGGTGCTGTAGCTGTACCATAATTTAAACAGTCCCTTATTGATAGATCATTACTTCATTTGATATAGATTAATGTATAATCTCAAAGTATATAAAGTAGGACCAGGAGTAAAGTAATCCATTAATAAATAAATATCTTTTTATAATTGTATTATAAAATAAGACAAGTGAAAGACTGGCAGGGAATGTTAAGTATAGGTCTACAAGAAATAAATATGTTTAATTTCTCCAACTGTATATTTATCTTCATAGGGCTGAAAAATACTAAAGACAAGATAGAAATTAACTGTGATGTTTTAAAATGGTAAAAAGAATTATATAATGCTTTCTGTTTTCTGAATATTTAAAATACTCATATCAATACTCAATACTCAAAGCTAAAAAGTTTTGAAAGTCTTATTTTCTCATAGTTGTTTTCCTCTGTAGTAAAAAAGATATTTAAACTCTTATAGCCTCAGTTTACATTTGACTATATTGATTCAAAAAATAAAGCAGTGTTAATTTTACTATAACTCTGCTTTTTCTCATCGTAGAAATAAACACTAGAGGTGGAGATGGGGGTTTATGAAATAGCAAAGTAGATGAACCACTACTCAGAAAAGTCATAAACCTTGAATTTCTCTCCTACTTCTATAAACAGGCACCTAATAACACAATCCTTGCTTTTCTAAAGAAGAGGAGCTGAACAGTACTCTCTTCTCTTTTCCTGAAAGGCTGTTTACATATTCTGTCATGGTCAGCTTTTCTGGAAAGAGCTTGGGTGAGACATCAGGAATATGATAATCAAATTTGTAAAGAAACAACTGGTGAGATCTTCACAGGTTCAAATGCCGGTCTTAATCTAAGAAGAAGAAAATTAAGATAGATGTAATGTCCTCAATTAGATCCTAACCTCTCTAGTACAAGTACAAATGGATGAGAAGGGGTGATGTGGTTAATATAAAAATGACTTGAGATTTCATTCTTTTTATACTTAATATGAGTAAACAATGTAACATGGCTGTTAATAATATAGTGATTTGGGGTTGCATTAGTAAAATATAGTATCACAAGTAAGAAAATGGTACTTCTGCCTCTCCTCTACTCTGCTGGTCAAATCACACCTGTAGTACTATACTGAAAGGAATATTAACCAAATCTGGTCACCAGGAGAATAGTCAGGAAGGTGAGGGGCCCGAACATTATGTCTTGTGACATATTAAAGGAACTCAGAATATTTATCTTGGAGAAAGAAAACATGGGGCAACTAGGAAAGCTGTCTTTGAATATTTGAAAGGCTATCACATTCAAGAAGTATTAGGCTTGCTCTGTGACCCCAGAAGACTAGTGGGTGGAAACTGGAGTAAAATCAGTTTCAGCTTACGTTTATATAATCTTCATGGGTGAACCCCAAAACTTTCTGGTCACTTATTTGAAATCACAACAACCCTATGAATTATTTTCCCCATTGTATAGCTGAGCTTCAAAAAGAAAATCTCAAATAATTTATACAGAGTCACACAACTAGTGAATTCTGGAGACTTAAACCTAGTTTTTCTGATTCCCAAGTCTAGGAATCATTCAAGAACATTACATATGCCTAATTCGAGCTTAAGGGAGATTTTTCAGATAATCAAAGGTAGTTTAAAAATAAAAAATAAAAGAATGAATTGCCTCATGATTCCTAGTGAATCCTAGGAAAAGTTCAAAAGAGACTGGTTAATAATTAGCCTGGGATATTGTAGAGCAAATTCAATTATCTGATTAGAGTTTGATCTCAAATTTCTAACTGAAATTTCAAGATTCTATGGGATTCAAATAGATGAAGAACTAGAAGAGAATACCAAAGATGTATCAATAAGAGATATTTAGTTAGGTTAATTTTCCCAATTGTGTATTTATCTACACAGAACTTGAGTTAATTTTCCCAATTGTGTATTTATCTGCACAGAGTTATAGAATAATAATAAAGATAAGCCAAGATAGAAACTCTTTGATAATAAGTCAGGATACTTATTTGTTCTGGAATAGTCTATTCAGCTTGGTAGGAAAAAATGCTTTGAAAAGAAACAAATTTTTTTTTTTTTTAAGTAAAAATATGCTGATCTTTAGGGTGTGGCTTATGTTCACATGTGTCTTGGTTGGTTCCTGCCAAAAAATATATTGTCTTCTATAATATCAACATATTTTGATTGGCATCAATTTTCTTTTTTTTTAGAGTTTCCCTATCTGAAGCCCATGCTCGACTAAACTTAAGGACTAAAGTGATTAAAGAAGATGCACTAATTGCAGCCTTATTGTTTGAAACATCTCTCACATTGAAATACGGTAATATTTTAAATTATTAATGATATCTACAAATAATTATATTTAAACAAATATTTTTCATGTTAAATTAAAATTTTGTATATGTTTTAAATATTATTTTCAAGAATAATAGATTTCTATGAGGTAAAGCTTGTTTTAATTTGAACATTTACTAATTATTTATAGGTAGTATCATGTGATATTAAGTTCTTTATTGTGCATGACTGTTTGCATACTTGAACTTTTGCATTTTTTAAAGAATTCTAGAAAAAAAATCTACTGAATACAACACATGAAATGACTTTAAACTTATTTTCCATTAAAATAACATGCAACATTTAATTGTCATGCATTTCTCCACAGTGGAGTTAGTCACATAGCCGAAGAAAATGTGATCAACTTTGCATGACCACCTTCTCTGAATTGCTAGTTTAATATTATGACTATAGCATTTAATTATTTGAAATGAATTGAGCTTACTGTAGTTTTTCTAATAAAAACATGAAAGAGCTCTTAATGTAAGAGTGAAGAGAGTTATTTTCACAAAGTTGTTTGTTGAATTAGATGAGACTTTGATTTTGATGAGATATACCATAATTCAAACCAAACTTTAGTTCCAACCCTGGGACTTTAAGGATAATTAACACTGACTTTTCTGTGTGTATATTAACACTGACTTTTCTGTGTGTTTAGTGCTTAAATTTGCTTTAAATTCAATTTATATTGTAATAACTTTTTGTAAAGATCTGTTAGAACATTAGAACTTTGTTCTATAAATATCTAAGTCACATATTCCTAATTTATGATCCATGGATACTTAGAGAGCCCTAGGGATTTGCGAATCCCTAAATTATATGTAAATTCGTATATGTATTTGCTTTATACTTTTTTTGCTTAGGGAGATAAATGATCCCTAGAAAAGGTTATCATCCTGAAATAGTTTTATTTACCAAAAAAGAAAAACCTAGTTTCTAGTCAATACTAAATAAGAGGAAGGATATATATTTTATTTTTAATTTGCTTTATCTTTATATAGTTTTTCTATATTTAAAACCTAATTGATAAAAGCTAAGACATTATCTACCATAAAGAAAAAATGCTGCCAATTTTACTATGACATGCCATAGAATTGTTAAGACACAATTAGATTTCAGTAAGACAAAAATGTACACCTTTGAATTTAAAAACTATGCTATTATAATATTAATTACTCCTGTGATAGAATATGGCTATTTTCACTTGGTAACTATTTTGTCAAGACTTTTTTGAAGCATTTAAGAAAATGTTTGTTGAGGCAAATAAAACTATGTGAAAAATTTTTTTCCTTTAGGTACTTTTTGTTTTCATAATAAAATTCAGTTAGGTGTATTGATTTTGAAGTCTTAAGCAAGACAATGTTAAGAGCTCCTTAAATAGTAGGAAAATCATCCCTGCTCAGGGATATTTTTCTCGGATGCAAAGACCGATAGGTTGTGCTCGTGAACTAGATTTAGAAGTTGGAGCAGTGGGGAAAGAGAGGGATTAAGGAAAACTCACTGGTGTTTGCCTTGAGAAACTGAGTAGATCATGGTGCCATTCACCAAGACTGGGAAGAAAGAAAAAAGGGTTTGGGAGAAAGGTCAAATTACAGAAGTTTGAAACATCTTACAGAGATATCAGTAGACAGATGAAAGAATCTGGAGTTTCGAAGAGAGTTCTACCTAGAAATATAATTCAGAAATCATCAGCACAGAGATAGTGCTCAAAGCTATGGAATGGATGAATTCGCCTAGAGACTCTAGGACTGTCCTTGAAGAATTTTAATAATTAGAAATGGGGTCGAGGAGGAAGAACTAACAAAGGAGACTGAGAAGCAGCAGCTAGAATATAGAAAGAAAATCAAGTGTAGTGTTACAGAAGCCATGAAAGGAGGGAGCAGTGTGGCCCACCGTGTCACGTGCTGAGTTTGCGTAAGACTGGATTTGGCAGGCTAGGGGTTAGGTGGCCACGATTGGAGCTAATTCAGTGGAGTGGGAATTTGGGTGGGGTAGGAAGTGAGGATATGGAGATTGCACACATAGACTACTTTGAGATGTTTGACTATGAAGATGAGGCAAGAAATAGGGTTTTAGCTAGAGAAAGATACGTGGTCCAGGATCAGATTTTTCTTTTAAAGATAAGATCATATGATGTGCAATAGAGTGTAAACTAATGATACTACAGAAAGAGGGGAAGATCAAAGGAGTGAAGTCTTTAAAAAGGTGAGGGGACAGGATTCTGAGCACATGTGAAGGTACTGACGACCTCTAATAGAAGAGTCACTTCATTTTATAGAAGGGAAGACAAATGCATACAGGATCAGGTAGGTCTGTAGACGGTTATGTACTCAACACAAGGTCATCAGCTAAAAATGAAGGGTTCGAGGAAAGGAGAATAGAATATAATAGTCATCATAGGGGACAGATGAGTTAGTGTGCTAGAGGAATTCAGCAGGGTTGTCAGGCAGTGCGAGTGCCCATTCGAGGTTTCTGTGGTTCATTTGAAGTGAAACCAAGAAATGCCAATTACATACGTGATTTTCTGCCTGTGGGCACAAAGTAAATGTTTGGGTACATACACAGTTGAGGTTTTGATAGGTGAATGTAGCAGAGTGATGCAGAGGGCATCACATATGGAGACTGGCAAGGGAGGGGTTCAAATTGGTTAAAAAGGGGACATGAATTGAAGGAAACAGACTGGAGGTCTCTGAAATAGAAGACCTGGAAGCTGGAAGTATAGGAGGTAATGTAGGGGAGCAGAACATTAGAACTCATGGTATTTTGAAGTAAGTTTCTGGTAATACCAGTTTCCTGTGACCTTGAGAATATGTGGTAGAGACAGAGGGGAAAAGGTCAGGACACAGAGAGGTCAGGAGTTAAATGGAAATCACCGAAGGGCAGGCATTAGGGAAGAGAGAAAGGCTGTGAGCCAAGTGCTGTAGAAAGGGAAAGGTCCAGGAGCCACTGGGCATCAAAGGAGGACAAATTTTTATCAAGCAGAAGATGGGCAAGAATGGTCTGGAAGCAGCCAAGGTGCAGCATGCAGGCACTCATTCTGGCTTGTGATACTAAGGTGTGTGGGGTGTTTGAGAAAACGCAGCTTCACTTCAGAGAACCACAGGAAAGCAGTGTTCTCAGGGAGAGCAGGTCTCAGGTGAGGTGAAGCAGTAAAGGGAGCAGTCACAAAAGTCTGAAGCTAAAAATGTTTGCTGATGACAGACAGCTCTAGAAAGGTAGACACTGTCTGCTTGGCTAGCAGTTGTACTACTGGCCAGGCACATTTAGGTACTCAATGAATTAATCAATGAAACAAATTTAAGAGCTTAACTCCTACAGCAGTAGTCAGATTTTAATTGTTGAAATATACATAATATAAAATTTACTATCAACGATTTTTAAATGCATAGTTCAGTGGTGTTAAGTTCATTCCCATCCATTTTCCATAACCTTTTCATTTTCCCAAACTGAAATTCCGTACCCATTAAACAGTAACTCCCCATTCTCCCCTTCCCCCAGCTCCTGACAATCACCATTCTACTTTCTATCTCTATGAATTTGACTTCTCTAGATACTTCATATAAGTAGAATCATATATTTATCCTATTGTGTCTGTCTGGCTTATTTCACTTAGTATGTCCTCAGGGTTCATCCATGTTGTAGCATGCACTAGAATTTTCTTCCTGTTTAAGTTTGAATATTCCATCATATTATCAACCAAAATACATATATGCATATATATCACCTTATCAAACAAGATACATATATATATATATATATACACACATATATATGTGACATATATATATCACATTTTGTTTATCCATTCATCCATCAGTGGATGTTTTCCACCTCTGGTTTCTACCTTTGGCTATTGTGAATAATGCTGCTATGAACATAAATGTACAAATCCTTTTGAGAACTTGCTTTCAATTATTTTGGGTATATACCCAGAAGGAAATTGCTAGATCATGTGGCAATACTGCTAATTTTTTTGATGAACCACCATACTGTTTTCCATAAGGGTTGCACCATTTTACATTCACACCAATAGAGCACAAGGGTTCCAATTTCTCCATATTCTTGCCAATACTTTTGTTTTTGATGATAGTCATCCTTACGGCTGTGAGGTGGTATCTCATTATGGCTTGATTTACATTTTTCTAATAGTGATATTGAGCATCTTCTCAAGTACTTATTGGCTATTTGTATATCTTCTTTGAAGAAATACCTACTCATGTGAAGAGTTGCCTTTTCAGTCTGTTGATCGTATCTTTTAATGCACACAAATTTATTTTGATGTGGTCTATTTTTTGTTGCTGTGCTTTTGGTATCATCCTAGAAATCATTACCAAATCCAATGTCATGAAGCATTTCCCCAGTTTTTCCTAAAGGTTTTATGGTTTTAGTCCTTACATTTAGGTCTTTGATCCATTGAGTTAATTTTTGCATATGATGTAAGGGGAAGGACCAGCTTCATTCTTTTGCATGTGGATATTGTTTCCCAGCACCGTTTGTTGGAAAGACAGCCCTTTCCCCACTGAATGGTCTTGGCACCCTTGTCAAAAACCATTTCACCATGTATACAAAGGTTATTATCAGGCTTTTATTCTGTTGCATAGGTTTGTCTGTCTTTGTCAGTGGTTTTTAGTAACTGAGAAATGTAGTCTTTACCCTTGGCCCACTTAACCTTTATCAAATACTAGTGTTTCCCTACCTTCCAATACCTCCTTCTCCCTACTTCTTCCACCTCTTTACATCACCATTCAACTTCAAAACTATAATGACTGTTTTATCAGATGGCAAATTTCTGTAGTTTCCAAACTAATCATCCACATATTTCTCCCACTGGCCCTGGTACCACTTTGTACATTTACTGAACCTGTTTTCTGGTCTCAAAAAAAAAGATTTAAATAATCATTATTGAAATACTCTATTAAATAGTTCAGACTTAGTTTTAAAACTTTCACTAGAACATTTTGTTGAAGTATGATATCATATTAGGAATTTTATGGAACATTTCTAATTTACACTTTTCCTTCTTCATTTAGGGACCACTGTATTTCGTGTTGCTCCAAATGCAGTATTTCCTTTTGAACTGTATAATGAAGAATATTTAGAGAAAAGGGATATCTATCTGACTCAGTGCCAACAACAGCTCCTACAGTTTATTGCCACATATGGACCTGGGACAACTATTTTTGCTAGCGATGAATAGCCAATCCAAGGAAAAAATCTTCATTCCTATTTAAGCAGTGGAAAAAAAGTGCAAATTGATTTTTGAAGTCACACTTCAGGTAGTGTATATTACAATATCTTTAAAAATACAAAATATCTCTTCAAATCATTTGCTAATGGAATAAGCATTAATCTAACTACCAAACCTAACAGCAGAACCTTAAAACTTAAGAGAATCCTATTTAAAAACTTTAGTTAGCCCAGTATACCAGTAAACAGATAAAAGTACGTTGCAAGCTAAGCAACGTAAAAAGATGGTTAACTTTTATGTAGTTCCCTTGATTCGTCACAAGATGGCAATAGCGCTTTAGATGAGTACCTACAATTTAAAACTTTTTTCTTGCACTTTTGAACTTGACAAATTGATGAGTAATTTATATAACCAGAAGCCTTGAATATAAGGATTTTCATATTTTACTAGATATTGACATGTCCATTATATGTATATTGTTTTGGAAGCCCTAATTGTGGAGTCAGGAAAAGCCTTGGAAATTTCCCATTTTTTATAACCTAGGTTAAACAAACTAATTTACAACAAATCAAGGAGCACATGGCTCTTTAAACCTAAGTGGTTACAAGATACCAAAAGGCAAAGAAACCATTTGCAAATGCAGTCATTTTTGGAGGGAATATATGTACTCTCTGAAAAGGCAGACAGCATTAGAAAATACACTTGTATTGTAAAATCTCCAAATCTTCAAAAGATAATTTTTTCCTGAAAGGAATGTTACCTTACCAAGATACTACCATGCACTGATTCTTTAGAAACTGGTACTTCAAGGAGTGTCTTAACCATAAGGTGGACATCTAACTCTGTGGGACTTTCACTATTTCCTTAGTCATTTGACAATCTTTATTATCCACTAGTGCCAGACTAGTTTTCAGAAGGCAGTTTTTAAAAACAAATTATAGTTCTATAAAGATCTTATTTTGTGGCTTAATTGTATTTTATAGTTTCCTGGTTAAGGCAGAAACATTTCTATTTTATGATAGGATCTGCAAAATGGCCATTTTACAATTTTAAAGTGTTATTGTTCTGTTGATGAAGAGGACTAATATTGAACACTGGTAAGGATGGTTTTCAAAAGTTGCCTCTGATGTGGTTATGCTGCTGTACACATTTTATGCTAACCCTGATGAAAGCAAATGTCTTGACCCAGCCAGGAATTCAGTTTTAGAATTCTTACCAATTCTCAAGCTCTGGACAAACTGGACTATTGTCTCGATTTTCCTTAATATTGTATACTACTTGTACTAGGATTGAGATTATTTAATTCAAATGTTAAAGCAAATTAAAACAAATTTGCAGGTTCCAGGTGAATCCTTTATTTGCAAGTAGCAATTAATTCATTTGAGAGCTTAGGAGATTCCAAACTAGTTGTTCCACACCCCTCCTTATCATGGGGTATATTCCAAGACCCCAGTAGATGCCTGAAAGCACGAATACCAAACCCTATACGTACATACCTGAAGTTTAAAAATTAGGCAGTGAGAGATTTAACTAATAGAACAATTATACTATAAGTTATAAGGGTTAACATAAGCACTACCATGAGACAACTAAGTGATTACTGGGCATGTAATATGCAAAGATTCATGCTACTCAGAATGCAATTTAAAACATGATTTCTAGATTTTTTCATGTTAATATCTGCAGACCACTGGTAACTGAAACTGTGGGGGGAGAAACTACTGCATTATTTTTAAGGCATAACATCAGGTTCTGAGGGGAGGCCAGCATAGTTGTCTAGTATGCAGTGAATAGAGCCTCCAGAAATCCTCTATAAGGCAAGAAAGGGTATGAGAACTGGAGGTACTAGAAATGTCTCCCCACCTGTATGCCACCTCAGTCACTATTCACAGATGTGCTAGTTATTAACAAGAACATACTATCCCAATGTTAAAAACAAGTTTAACTAGTGATGATGAGAATGGAGCTGTTTAAGGTCTTGATATATTTTGAAGAAAACAGATTTTGTTGCCCAGAAATTAAGTGCTCAAACGTGCATTTTCTACATAATTTACGGAGGCAATCAATGTTAAATATTGATTTTATTAAAATATAAATTTTCATCATTTGCGTCATCTTCTTGACCAATTCATTTTTCCTCCCAAAATGTTGCATGCCACATCTCTGGGGGGAAAAAAAGAACACAGAAACAGTGAAAAGCATTCTATACTCAGACACAAAGGAAATCATTCAGCTCACACACAATGGCAACAGGAAATGGCCCCAGACCTTTATCAGATATATTTGAATTATCAATAGATGGGGTTCCTTGACAAATCAGTTACCTGAGGCAATGAATTTTTAAACATCACAGCTGGACTTGATCATTCATCTGCAGCCACCTATATGCTGAAAAGAACATTTCGCCACTTTAGTAAAAAACAACAACAAAAGTCAAGTTAGTTCACATAATCTCAATATAGATTACTGGCACCTCAGTCTTAAAATTATTTCTTCAAAGAAACCCTCTGCTGGGTAAACGGCAAAAAGTAATTTAAGTCATCATTGTGCCAGTTATTAAACCTGTCAAAAATGTATTAAGCATTTTGGTACTGCTCTTCAGAACAATACAAATATGTTAAAAAGCACACAATTTAACATTTACTGTTCGTACCTTGTTACATGCAGCTGTGCTCCTAGTGGTTTAGTCATCTTGTTTAATTTTCGGAAGACATTCATCATGACATCTTCAACTCCTAGGCTCTGTTGCACCTGAAAATCAAGTTTTTCATTGTGAATTATTTGTACTTGAACCTGTTTGTTTGGCATCTTATATGTAGGAATGGTCCAGTAAGTTTTTTCATTATCGGGAACCACAAATGTAACTATACATGTAGTCTTCCTGACTCCTGACCCATTTTTTAATAACATCGAGACTATATAGAATTGTTTTAACATATCTAATGGAACACAAGAATGTAACTGCTGCTTAATTCTACTTTTTTTTGGTAGTCGAAACAGATAAACCCAAAATTCAGTTATCTACGATTTAAGAATGTTAGTCCTTTTAGACTGATTAGGCCCTAACAATTCCATAAATGATCTTTCCAAGATGGAGATGGATTCGTTAGCATGAGATAAGCAGGGAAAATGGTGGCTAAATATTTATGTTCTTCACTGTGGCACTATTGATTTTAAGACATGATAGTCCTAATGAGTACCCAACCATTGCTTTTCTGTCTCACACCTTGACAAAGATATGAGCCGGGTTAAAGGTTAGATATGACACCAAGTGTACAACCCTCCAACTAAATACATTACAATAGCAAATCTAACAGTTTTAGAGCAGACATATTTTTGTTGGCATTACTGGACACAGTCTATAAAATTAAATCCCAAGTTGCCTGAAAGCATATTTAGGTACTGCAAAGGGCATGGCCAGGGCCACCGATATCTTATAGGATACATCCAGGAGGATAAATCATTGAACCAGACATCTACTGGAAATGATTTATGAAGACATCAAATGCTGGACCTTCCAAAACAATTTATCATTTTCGAGTCCTGAAATGCTGAAATACTTCACACACAATATCCTGAAATGCTGAAATACTTCACACACAATATCAAGAGCTAATTCATTGAGTATGTAAGTGATAACTTGCCAGTTTATGTATCTAAGCAACCAAACAGTGCTCTAAAACGAGGCTCCCATTCCTAGTACTTTATATATTTGCTTGGTATTCTACTCCCTCACATAATCCAGTGTTTAAAGAACTTGATTTTCAGACTATGGGTTATGAATAATTCCAGCTTGGAAAATTTCAGTTTAATGATTCATGGGAACTGAGAACTACAAGCGTAGTCCTTTTTGTGTAAAACCTGTAACAAGAAAAAAGAATGTTTGGAGATACATACTTACAATAAAATTGCTATCTATCCCACTACCCTCAAAAACTCAAGAGACTGGACATAAAAATCCAGATGGGCACCTCAAATGTAAGGCAAAAGGAATGAGATAGGGAAGCAAATAGATACTATGGTACTGGTATTATTCCAGCTCTTAAATGAATTGGTGGGCTCCTGTGTATTATGTTGCAGAGTGTACATGCATATCCATATTTTTATCAAACATTTAGTTTGTAAATAGGATTCAAGCCACCCAGGCCTCAAAAATAAGGATTGTAATCCCAAATATAAACTACTTTAAGCCATCACATTTGCCCTGTTAAGATTGTTTTGGATAAAGCAACGCATTTCAAATTTGGGGAGAGAAACCACATGACTATGCTAAGTCTCATCGATGAGATACTCATTCGAAACTTGTTTTTGAATAGGCAACATGTTCCATTCCAGTCACCCGGCTGTTGATCAGTTTTCTTCTCTATTTCGTCCTGAAATATACATCTCTATGTAAACGCAAGCATCTAAGAGTATAGCAGGCATTTACTGGCTTAAGAGTCTCCTATTTGGTACACATTGTTCTCCAACTTCAATGCTATGTCTTTAGAGCCTATTTGCAAAGATCGAGGAACAAATGCCGACAAGTGCTCCACTGTGTCGAGAACTGTTAGTGCGCAAACTGTCCTGTTAATTTTAAAAATCAAAGTACAGCTAGGTAAAGGTTGTGTTAATACCTGAGAGAATCCCATCCCAATTTATAAAATGCTTCCTTACTAAAGATAAATCGCCCATTTAAGGGACCTGCTACTGTATACTAGGTCTACGGTAGTATCCGCACACAAAGGTTTACGAGGAGTATAAAAGGGCTCTGCCGAAGGCTCGGGGTCGGGGGGCGGACACGAAGCCACAGGCCGTACCGTACCTTCCAGCCGCCTCGGAACCAACTGATCAGAGGCCCTTAGTTTCTGAGCTGAGAAGATTTGGAATCTTGCGTTTACTAAAGAGAAGGGTTGGCTAAGACTCGCAGGTGGTTACTCACAAAATGCGACTGAGCAGATGGCGCGGAAGAAAGCTCGTGGCCGCGTCAAGTGGGAGTGAAAGGTGCCTCCTGGGCCGACCACGCGACGGTGCCGACCGCTGGGCTGCAGCCGGGTAAGGGATGGAGACCACCGGAATGGAGGCCCCAGGCGGAACGGACGCAAGGTCCTGAAGCGGGCATGGGCTCCGGCAGGGAGTCGAGTCCCCGACAAAAGGAGAGAAGGAACTAGGACCGCGGGGACTCCCACCTTGAAAAGCCTGGCGACCCGCCCGCAGGCGCTGCCGCCCGAGCCGCAGGGTCCGCATGGCCTACAGCTCTCAGCGGGCCTTCGCCCAACAGCAGCCAGGCGGAAAAGGAAGCGCGGCGGCCGCCGGTGGCTCTTAGAGGGCTGCCGGCCTGGCTCCTCCCCTTCCGGGCCTGGCCCCGCCCTTGCAAGCGGGGCGGGAGGCAGGCTGGGGGGGTGTGCCCTGGACGTCGCTGTCTTCCTGGGCTTCTCCACCTGAGGTGGCGTGCCAGGCCTCAAGTTTACAGGAGGGTGGCTTTTGGAACTTCCATGAGGCTTTCAAGGCTCATGAGAACCTCATCTAGAGCTAATTCATTGAGTATGTAAGTGATAACTTGCCAGTTTATGTATCTAAGCGACCAAACAGTGCTCTAAAACGAGGCTCCCATTCCTAGTACTTTATATATTTGCTTGGTATTCTACTCCCTCACATAATCCAGTGTTTAAAGAACTGGTGGTATTGGACATTTCAGTTGAGAGTAAGGTATCTGGAATGACCCCTTCACACACTAGAAAAAAAAAAGTTTTATTTTCCATGTATTATAGCAATAGCTATTGTTTCTATTTTTATTAATAATAAGAGGGTTAAAAACATTCGTAAATCAGTCAGCTGCCTGTTTATGAACATGTAATTTGCTATCGATTTTTGTGCTTTATGTTTTACAGGCATACCTCGTTTTATTCTGCTTTGTTTTATTGCGGTCATGGATGTGTTTTTTACAAATTGATGGCAAGACTCTCCAAAAAAATGACGACTGGCTTTATTGTAGCGATCTGGAGCCCAAAACGCAATATTTCTGAGGTATGCCTGTATTACTCTTGTTTCTCTCAATTATTATGTATTGAGTCCTGGCTGCAAAGCACTAGGTTTAGTGCTGGAGAAGACAGGTTGATGATCTTGTTGCCTGAAAGAATACACATGGAAGCATATAATTAAACAATTACATCAGTAAAAGATATATCATCTCTCCTTTAAAAATTGAATGTCTAAGAAATTGATAGAAAATCCAGTACAAAAATATGTTTGTCTCAAAGAAACATGGTATGAAAATCTAAACCTAGCAATATAAATTGTGCTTATACTCATTTTACCAAAGGATTCCTTTCTGTATAACGTTTTGCTAAATGCTTTACAGGGATTTGAATTCTTTGGGGCCCTGAGTGGACATACTTTCTTGTTAGGTAGTGATTTGGGCCTCAACCTGCCATCACAGACTCATGAGGGAATATCACTTCTACAAGCTAATTTTGCAACCTGGGCAGCCACCTCCACTAGGCCTTTGCCTATAACTAGGTGGGTAGATGTGGGAGCCACCATTACTGAAAGGTGTAGAGGAGAGTGTGAAAATTAATTCTAATTTGTTTAAATGGAATCATAGAGTATGTACTCTTTTTTTGTCTGGCTTCTTTCACTCAGCATAATTATTTTGAGACTCATCAATGCTGCTGTGTGTAACAACAGTTAATTCCTTTTTACTGCTGAGTAGTATTCCTGTATATGGATATACCACAATTTGTTTATTCTTTGCCTCATTGATGGATGTTGGTTTTTTTTCAGTATTTGACTATTACAAATAAAGCTACTATGAATATTCATATGCAAATCTTTGGACATGTGCTTTTATTTCTCTTGGTAAACACCCAGGAATGGAATGGCATGGTAGGTGTGTGTTTAACTTTATACCATTTTACATTCCCACCAGCAGAGCTTGAGTGTTCCAATCATTTCACCTTCTTTGACTATGCCAACACTTGGTTTAGTCAGCCTTTTAAAAATGTTAGACATTGAAATAGGTATGTGGTGGTATTTCACTGAGCTTTTAATTTGCCTTTCTCTAAATAATAATGAGCATTTTTTGCAAGCTTATTTGTTATCTGAATACCTTCTTTGATGAAAAGTCTATTCAAACCTTTTTCCCATTTCAAAAAATTGAGTTGTTTGTTTTCTTATACTTGATTTTGAGGGTTCTTTATATATTTGGGATACAAGTTCTTTATAAGATATCTTCTGCAAAGATTTTCTCCCAGTCTTTATTTTGTCTTCATTCTTTCAACAATGTCATTCAAAGAGAGGTTCTTCATTTCGATGAAATCCAATTTGTCAATGTTTTTTCTTATATGGATTTGACTTCGGGTGTTATGTCTAAGAAACTTTACTTAACTCAAACTTATGGAAGATCTTTTTTTTTTTTTTTTAACCACAGACTACTCAGTTATCCCTCAGGAGAATAAGTATGTCTTTGGATCACTCAACTAGGCTTATCAAATGGCCGTTTCTGTCAAAGATTCACTTTGAATCCCTCCCTAGCTATGTCTATATGAATTATGTCATGAATTTTACCCAAATTCAATTAACCCCCTCAACATCGAAAGATTCATCCTAAACCAGACCCTCAAAAAGCTCATAAATGTCTTTCCTTTGCCTTCTTCATTTGGAGATATTATTAAGACTATATCAAGTACAGCATATTAACAGATTGCTGTCATCCTAATTTCATTTTTATATTTTTCAAACTGAGATCAAGGAAATACTTTTTTGAATCCCCCTTATTCTGGATTATAAAAATATAGGAGGGAAAGCGCTGTGAGGAATTTAATGCAATAAACAAACATGTGTATGTATACGCACTGTAAAAAAAAAAGAAAAAAGACTATTTCAAAGCAGTGGTCTCCCTTGCTTCCCTTATCCTCCCTCCTTTACAAGTTTTTGTGATAATAAACTCAGCTCTGCTTACCAACAGGTTATTTTGTTTGATTTTTCAGGGAGTCAGCAGTCACAACATTCAAAAAAAAATTTTTTAAAACTGTAAAACTCATAGAAAAAAACATAGGGGGATATCATCATTACATTGGCCTTGGCAATGATTTCTTGGCTATGATACCAAGAGCACAGGAAATGAAAGAAAAAATAGATAAGACGTCAATTAGACGTCAATTAGACGTCACCAAAATTAAAAACTTTTGTGCATCAAAAGATACTACCAAGAGACTGATAAGAGAGATGAAATGGGAGAAAATATTTGCAAAGCATACATCTGATGAGGGATTAATATCCAGAATTTTTGAAGAACGCCTACAACTCAGCAGAGAAAAAGCCCATTTCAAAAATGGACAAAAGACATGAATAAGCATTTCTCCAAAGAAGTTACACAAATGGCCAATAAGCACATGAAAAAGATGCTCAATATAACTAGCTATTAGGGAAATGTAAATCAAAACTACAATGAGATACTACTTCACACCCTATTATCAAAAAATCAACAATAAAATATCGTGTTGGCAAGGATGTGGAGAAATTAGAAACCATTGCTGGTGAGAACGTAAAATGGTACAGCCACTGTTGAAAACAGTATGGCAATTCATTAAAAAGTTAAACACAGAATTATCTTATGATTCCACAATTCCACTTCAGGGTATATACCCAAAAGAATTGAAAGCAGACTCAAACAAATACTTCTATACCAATGTTCATAGTAGCATTATTCACTATAGCCAAAAGGTAGAAACAGCTCAGATGTCCGTGGATGGATGAATGGATGAACAAAATGTGGTATATACATACAATGAAATATTATTTAGCCTTAAAAAGAAATTTTGCTATATGCTACATGGCAGATGAATCTTGAAGACATGCTAAGTGAAATAAGCCAGGCAAAAAGGACAAATATTATATGATTCCACTTAGAAGAGGTGGTTAGAATAGGCAAATTCATAGCAGTAGTAGAACAGTGATTACCAGGAGCCGGGATGAAAAGTGGATGGGGAGTTATTGTGTAATGGGTACAGAATTTCTGTTTGGGATGATGACAAAGTTCTGGAAATGGATAATGGTGATGGTTTGTGAATGGATTGTGAATGTACTTATTGCCAATAAATTTTACACTTAAAAATGCTTAAATTGGTAAATTTTGTTATGTATACCACAATAAAAATAAAATTATATTTTAAAAAGAGAGAAAAAGATTCACACCTTTGCATGGCCTCATCTTTTGCTTCCCCTCTCGTACTTCATACCAGTCACCTTGGTCTACTCTTACTTTTTAGAACATGCCAAATAATTTTCACATCTGAAGACCTTCGTTCTTGCCTGGAATTGCTGTTTTGAATGGCTCACTTCTTTCCTTTTTTTGGTCTTAGCTTCTCTGCCCATTTCTCAGTGAGGCCACACTTGCCCTGCCTATTTACAGTGGACCCACTATAAATCATCTCCCTTCTTGTTTTCTTCATAATTTATAATTATCTTACTTGTTTGTTTTTAAACTTATTGACTTTTGCTGCCCTCACTGGAGTATACATTCTATGAGAGGCCAGATCTTGTCTCTTTTGTTCATCTTTTTTTTGTTCATCTTTTATTCCTAGCACCTAATATAATCCTTAGGACTTAATATCTATTGAATTATTGAATAAATTAATGATAGATCTATATGTGCTGATTTGGAATATTTTTAAAGATATATTAAAATTTAAAAGCTAGGTGCAGAAAAGTCTTTAATTAAAATCTTATTTTTGGTTAAATTTTTGGTTAAATATTTTATATTTTATTGTATGCCATTCTCTACTGTTTGGATTTTTACTATGTGTATGCAATTTTATAATTAAATTTAAGAAAGAATTATTAAAGTAGTACATTTTCTCTTATGACTGCAAAAATAGACCGTTTTTGAGATTTGCCCCTTCAGCCCTGACTGGCATTGTGAAAAGTGTTTGGTATTCTCCAGCAGTAAGTGCATCCCTGGGGGTTGCTGGTCTCCAGATTGCTGAACTGAGTTAATGCATCAGTTGTAAACACAACTAAAACCACATCAAGGGAAAAGTTTCATGGTTTAAATCTAATATAGTAGTTTATCAGAAATAACTTTAAAAGTAGCCATTCTTTGATAGTATAACCAGGATTATCTTAAAAAGTTTACATTTTGGAGGTAGACATACATCAGGATTCAGGGAATACAGAACATTATTTTCTTAAAAGCTTTCAGAACCTATATAGTCTGCACTTACACATGTAAATCTCATTAGTAAATTAATACATTTGGCCTTCACTCTTTTTTCTTATTTAGTGAATGATTTGGAGAACCTC